ACAAGGATGCGAGCGTTCCAGTCCTGCCTGGGGAGGCCGTCGAAGAGTTGGGTCCTATTAGAGATATAAAGATATTTTTCAGCTGGGTTGTACGCGGTACTTACGGCGGTGTGCACAGTCACTAAGCGAAAGCAGGCGCAAGGGAGAAGAGACCATAAACGGTTCTCGCTGAGCAGAGTCACGGTATCAAAGTAGGAACCCGAAGATGAAATGATGCGCGGTGGTGCATATTCACTACCGACGAGTCGAGCCTCGAATTCCTCGAAGGATGTGGGGTTTTCAAACGCGAGGCGGCCCCACCGCAGAATCGAACAACTCCTTAAAATCGTACTTGCGTCCGAGGCGGATGTACGCCGCGACAGCTGCAAACGGTAGCGACGCCTGACACAAGAACGTCCTATGTTTCCGGTCAGCAGATTCTCAGTGCCATGACAAACAAAGTGCGCACGGGCTGTAAAGCGCCTTCAATACGAATTCGACATCAATTGCATCGTCCGGTAGTTCGATTACCGGGCACCCGTCCACGGTGGGCTGGTCAGGAGGCTGAGGAAGGTCCTCGAGGTCGCGCAAGAAGGAAGAATTTTGCGAAAGCAACCCCCAATAGACGCGAAATTGCGTGTTCTGAGCCTGCAGGACGATACTTCCATCCTTGTACCAGATGCTGGAGCGCGTTATCGACGCGTCTTTGTCGCCCTCGGTGCTTTGGCCTTTTGCTGGAGGTTGCCAGTGGGACATGGCGGTTAGAAAGAAGACAAGAGCGCGATGGGGTGCGAAGCACCCTCCGGTGGGAAATAAAACAGCTTTACAGCGGTTTATGCGGTGATGTTGAGCACACACGGGGATAGAGACAAGATCTTGCTGCCGCAGTATGTCCGATCCAAAAAACCCGATTTCGGCCGGCAGATCCGTCAGCATACGAATCAGGCGACCGATTTTTTGAGGCTTTCCGTCCGCATAACGGATCGCACATTTACGGCGGCACACGGCCGGCAAGGTGCGTTTCCTCTGAGAATCAATATGCTTCGAGGTTGAGAACGAGAATTTAAAGGCAATTTGTGTTTTTCTCACCCGACAGGCGCCGTGGAGAGTGTTCTATCCGTACGCATAAAGATCCGACATGTGAGCCGGCCAGCCACTTCGGTCGCCACTTTGGATCAGACATTCACCCCCCGTCAGCATAAGGATCGATGCGCTCCTACGGCATAATCACCTTACCTGTTATCGGACACTATCAACAACACGAGCACGTGCCCCTTGGGCACCTTCCATATTTTGGCACAGACCGCCCCCTTTGCGGCTGTTGCAGCCCACATCCACCTCGGACGCAAGTATGACGTCCGGGTACATCTCCCGCGCGCTTGATCAGCTGTAGTTTGTATTACCGAGCCAAAAAATGACGACCGTACATCGCAGCGCAGCACGGTTTGTTAAAGGACCGACGCCGCGACGCCGGAGAGAGAAAGAGGATAGGGCGTCAGAAGCGGTGCGACGCGGAGGCGCTAGGTGGACGATGCGGAGGCGCCAGGCAGGCCGTTGCGCTGGCGATGGCGTTGACATCCGAGTCCCAACCAGCCCGGCCGGTGTAGAGAGAGGGGTAGAGAGGGGGGCAGCGCATCGGCGGCGCAGCAGTGGCGGCCGTAGGGTCCACAAATACAAATGCTTGAACGCTCTTAATGAATGATTTCTCGCGTTTGGCCCCTGATGTAGGTGTGATTAGTTTCTGATCTCTTCAAGGACGCGTAAAACCAGGACTTACCGCTCGATGACATCCATTTACAAATAATTGTTCGTCCGGATTTGGATTCGTCTGGTTCGAGCGCACATGAAAAAATTCAAAGTAGCGGCTCCGTCCTCTTTCCTCCTCTACCGGCGACCACCATCGACCGCCGCCCGTCATCGTCTGCTGCAGCCTGCTCCGCGCACCCATCCCTCGCAGCGGCACATCCAGCTCCGAGCCCGCGCACGCCTCAAGTCCCTCTGCCCCCAGTCCGCTCCTTAGGCCTTAATACTTATCCTTCCACCCCACAATCACTGGACCTCGCGCGCCGGTCCCGAATCCCAACTCCCGCCACGCATCGTATCGTCCCACTGGCGCGCTGGATCCCCTCGTCTCGGCCAACGAAAACGGAAACGAAAGATTCAGAGCACGTCCGGCCACTCATCCAGCCCGCCCTTCCTGTCCTCCCTCTTCCTTCCTCCGTCCTCCGGTGTCCGCATCGAAGGCGCCATCGTCCTCGTCAGGATCTGTGGACATCCCAAAATTTCCTCGCGACCAGAACCAGCGAGTCGCTCGTCCGGACTCCAACTGACGCCCAAGCACACTGCTCCTTCGTCTTCCTCGTCCGTCGATACCTCCCACCAGCCTCCTCCCCGCGCTACGAACACGCATGCCAACAACTCTCCACCGGCGGCCGTCCACTTGGTGCCATTTGCTCAAGTTGACCCTGGCCCTGGCGCTGCACCGTCCTCCTGCACCGTCCTCCTCCTCCGCCTCCTCCTCCTCCTCTATTCCGGCTGCGACTCATCACGGACGCGGGGTGCTGCCAGGGATTGGATGAAGGGAGGGGATGGATGAAGACGAATGTTGCCTGTGTATAGTGTATGTAGATGCGTGGAGATGTAGGCGCTGAGGAAGGACGAAGAAGAGGAGTACGAGTGAGTAGGAGAGGACGAGGACCAAGGACGGGGACCAAGGACGGGACCACGGCATGAAAAATGGGAACCAAGCCGACGACGCCCGGGGACCGCGTCGGCCACGCGCAGGCCGACAAGAAATCGAGGAGTATTAGGCGTACTTGAACTCGAAGTAGAGGCAGGCGCCCGTGCAAGTGTCCGGGTCGACTCGGTAGGATCGCGACGTAAGGAGGGAAAGTCAAGCAGAGACAGGCGTTGGTCGTCGGTATTCATTGTGGCGTGCGAGGGAAGTGGAAGAGGGTTGGGTCGGGGGAGGATTTGGCGGATTGGGGGACGCATTGTGGAGAGACGCGTGGGCACCGAGGCGACGCGTTGATACATAGGTGCATACGTCGGCCGTGGCCGTGCGGGTGTGGCGTGAATGCATGTATAATCGTGTACAGAGAGCGCCAACAGAGGATCATTGGGGTGGTGAAGAGGTAACGCAGAGACCCACTGCCGCGCGAGTGTGTGTTCAGATACGCCGGCAGGGTCCAAGGAGCGTAAGCGCCGCGGAGGAAAGACGCTGAGGGCAAGACAGCCTGACCGTGCAGAGAGGGCTGCAGAGGGAAATCACACCGCACCATTAGGCAGCATGGTCGTAGATGGCGTCCATAGCGGTGGAATATGCAACGGGCGGCGAGTGGCGGTAGCTAGTCCTTGACAAGCTCATACCCCACCCACACCACCTCCGAGCAACTCGTACATGGCACGAGATGCATCCCGCCGTCCATATCCGCGCCCGTAATCGCATAACTCCCGCCGCACCGACACGCATGCGTCCACCTCTCCTGCTCGGGCACCTCGTCAAACTCCGCCAGCGAGATGACCTGTGCGGGGCGCGGACCGGCGGGTATGCGCTGTCGGTCGCTATCGTGTTGAGCGCGGCGGACAGGGTCGGAGAGGACGCGATACGCCTGCTGGATCGCGTGGATGTCTTTGCTTTTGCTGTGGGGTTTCTTGTCTGGATGCGCGGCCAACAACGCGCGATGGTACGCGGCCTTGATGTCCTTGGCCGACGCGCTGCGCTGCACCCCCAGCAGGGTGTAGCAGTCGTCCTCGTCGTGGTTCATAGTAAGCCGGATGGCGGGCCGGTCATGATGGCGGCGGTAATCGGAGTTTGAAATCCATCTCACGCAAAAATCTCGCCCCGTCCACGACCAGCGCAAACGCACCCCTTCCTCAACAAAAATGGGCTCAACCAGGTCAGCAAACCCTCCCTTGTGCCCCTGCACCCGCTCTCGGTGGCTGGAATGCAGAAATGGGCTGGATGCGGGGACAGAGTTGTGGATGTCGTTCAGAGACTGACTTTTATTTCAGACTGTACAGCAAAGGCCGTGTGCTGGGCCACAAACGGGCTAAACGCAACACCCGCCCCAACACCTCCCTCATCCAGATCGAGGGCGTGGCCACAAAGGAGGACGCCCAGTTCTACCTCGGAAAGCGCGTCGCATACGTATACAAGGCAAAGCGCGAGATTCAGGGCTCAAAGGTCCGCGTCATCTGGGGGTGCGCCGTCCACTGCTCTCTCTGTCTGCATACTCACTCGCCGCAGCCGCGTCACCCGGCCACACGGCTCCTCCGGTGTCGTCAAATCAAAATTCCGCGCAAACCTCCCCCCGCGCGCGTTTGGCGCCAGTGTCCGCATCGTGCGTCCCGCTCCCTCTTCTGCTATTCAGCGTTTAATGTGCGCGGCAGATGCTCTACCCCTCGACGATCTGAGCGTAGACTCCCCGTATCGTATCACATTGCAATATGACATGCGCATGCCCACACCTTGTACTATTCAATCCCCGGCTGAGCCTGAGGCCTGAGGCCTGAGTGAGGATGGAGATTGGTTTCGGGTGCGATTCTGTTGGGTGTCAAGTGGGAGCCTCTTAAAGGAAGGGTCGGTCGAGCTGGCTTTGATTCTTGCGCGTCTCCTCCGTTCCGCTTGTCTGCCCTCCTTCCTTTGCTCCGCTCTGGGTTAGTACCCCTTCTTCGATCGACAGTGGCGTCGATTCCTCCGACCGAGTTTCGTTTCGCGGTTCTGCGTCCCCGAGGGTGAGACCATACTTGAGTTTCCATACTTGAGTTTCCAGGGCCCAGTGCGCCCAGTGCGGTCCCGTCGCCCGTCCCGATTGTCTCAGTCGTCTAACTAGTACTAGTACTACGGACGCCCGTTAGAGTGTTATGACCCCAGTATTCGGGGGAAAAGTACACCAAGAAAAACGCGCTTGCTAAAGGACCCGACGCCGAGCCCGAATCGTTCGGTCTCAGATAAAGAAAGATAAAGAAGTCAAGGGGGAAAATCAGGGCAAAATGCAAAAGAGCACTGTGCGCAATTATGACCTGACCCCGAGTCGAACAGGGATCTTCTGATTACTATAAATCAATCCACGTAAGTAGAGCAGATGCACTAACCATTGTGCTACCAGGCCCATAAGTACCTGCATGGGTTCAACTGCGAGGCTGTGGTTATATGTAAGTAAGCAGAGTTCAACTCGGAGTAACGAAAAATGAACCAAGTTCATCATGGCCACTGCTACCTACATTAATTAATTACACTCGAGTCTTCGAGTTCGTTCGCCGCGCCGTGCCACAGGAAGGAGGATGGAAAAAAAAAGATATTATTCTTCGAGCCCATGACCTGACCCTGAATCGAACAGGGATCTTCTGCTTAAAACACATACAATGTTCAAGTAGAGTAGACACACTAACCATTGTGCTATCAGGTCCATAAAACAATCCTCAATTAGAGAGAAGGGCAAGCTTCAAGTTGGGTGAACCACCCAAAGAAAGAAAAAAAGGTGAACACAACAAAAACACTCAGTCCATGATATGACCTGACCCCGAATCGAACGGGGATCTTCTGCTTACAGAAAAGCATCACTTGTAAGTAGAGCAGATGCACTAACCATTATGCTATCAGGTCCATACATGTGTAGCTTCAACTGTGATTATATGTAAGCCTAGCTTGCAGTGAAAGCAGGCTTCAATTTGGAGTAACGGAAAATGAACCAAGTTCGACGTCCAAAAAGTCAGTTCTGCTTGCTCACACAGCCGGCAAGGGCCATGACCGCGGATTCATGGCGTTTGACGGGCGTGGGTCCGACACTGGCCATGGCGTTGGCCCGGCGTTGGCTGGGCGTTGCACATTTTCTTTGTTTCTTTGGCAGCGTGGGAATTTGCATGCCTTTGCGGCTAGATATCGGCGATCACGGAAGAGTTATGTTGAACTTCTTATTTTTGGTATTTCTAACTGATCCTCCTCCGAGAAAAATGGCAGGAGCTTTATTCTTACCTGTAACTCTTATTTCCTTCAGCTTTTCTGCATGTTTCTGAGATCCGGGGGTGAGAACAAAATTCCGGCCGGCACGAGCACCCAAACTGGTTGCAGAACAAACTGACTATGCTGTATGGGTTGGAGGGGACGAAAACCGGGGCAAAAACTTGTATGTGTTATGAACCCTCAACACAATGTTAGGCCCAATGAACTTACCACCGCAGAGCACTGAGTGAAAAACTTGATATCAGTGTTGTAAGGGACCAGATTCCCACGCCATCAAAGAGAACAAAGAAATTGTGCAACGCCCAGCCAACGCCGGGCCAACGCCATGGCCAATGTCGGACCCACGCCCGTCAAACGCCATGAGCCCGCGGTCATGGCCCTTGCCGGCTGTGTCATTTTATCCTCCACCATGGCCACTTCTATTTACATTAATCACACTCGAGTCTTCGAGGCAGTCCAGTTTCTTCGCCGCGACCGTGACGTGAGGGGACAAAAAATAAAACAGGTTGTTCTTTGCAACTATGACCTGACCCCGAATCGAACGGGGATCTTCTGCTTACATTCCTTCTACCCCAAGTGGAGCAGATACACTAACCACTGTGCAATCAGGTCAGTGCCTTCAAATCCCCTAATTTAGGACACATGTAAGTAAGTCTAGCTTGAACCAGTGTTCAACTTGGGGAAAATGAACCTTGGGATCAAGTTTTGTTTGCTCATTTATCCTCTACCATGGCCACTTCTGCTTACATTAATTACACTCGCCGAGGCCGTCGGGTTTTTCGCCGCAGCCGTGACATGAGGAGAGAAAAAAAAAACATTACTTCTTCAAGACCATGACCTGACCCCGAATCGAACAGGGATCTTCTACTTACAACAAATGTGGTATGTAAGTAGAGCAGATACACTAACCAGTGTGCTATCAGGTCCATACCTGCATGGGTTCAACTGTGGTTATATGCATGTGCAATGAAATTCAACTTTTCGACCGCCCAAAAAATCAGTTCTGCTTGCTCATTTTCCCTTCCACTCCTCCTTACTGTATATTCCTTCTAACTTACTCGAGTCTTCGAAGCCTTCAGTTCCTTCGCCGCGCCGTGAGGACAAAAAAGATTAAAACACATTACTTCTTCAAGACCATGACCTGACCCCGAATCGAACAGGGATCTTCTGCTTAAAACATCAAGCTGAAATCAACCAGCTAAAGCAGACACACTAACCGTTGTGCTATCAGACCCATGTCTACTCAAGTTCAATTGTGGCTATATGTAAGTTTGCTGGAACCACCCAAAAAATCAATCCTGCTTATCCTTGTTCATTTTATCCTCCTCCACGGCCACTCACTCAAGTTATCTGTCTGTGCCTTCGGTTGATTTTACCGCGACGTGAGGAGGGAGATGAAGACGGGGAAAAAAAGATGAGTACAACTGGCCACAACCTGACCCCGAATCAAACAGGGATCTTCTGCTCAGCAATTTCAAAATCAACCAGGTAAAGCAGACGCACTAACCATTGTGCTATCAGGTCATACTTCAAACTCCCCAACTTAGGACACATGTAAGTCTAGCTTGAGACCAGTGTTCAACGTTTAACTTGGTTCAACCTTGGGATCAAGTTTTGTTTGCTCATTTTATCCCCCTTCCACTAGGCCTGCTTATATTACTTCCACTCGAGTCTTCTGTGCATTCAGCTCCTTCGTCGCGACCGTGACGTGAGGTGAGGTGAGGAGGGACAAAAAAAGCCTTGCTCTCTGACCATGACCTGACCCCGAATTGAACAGGGATCTTCTACTCACAATTCATTCTTGCCATTAAGTACAGTAGCTGCACTAACCATTGTGCTATCAGGTCCATGCTTGCTGAGGTTCAACTGTGACTATATGCAGGCCTAGCTTGAAAGCAGTGTTCAACTTGGAATAACAAAAAATGAACCAAGTTCATGATCTTCCACCATGACCACTGCTACTTACATTAATTACATACACTCAAGTCTTCGGGGCAGTTCAGTTCCTTTGCCGCGCCATGCCACAGGAGGGAAAATGAGACCAAAAAAAAATCACAACCTATCTAGCCCACAACCTGACCCCGAATCGAACAGGGATTTTCTGCGGAACCACATTAATCCATTCACGTAAGTAAAGCAGATACACTAACCACTGTGCTACCAGGCCCATACCCACTGCAGTCATATGTAAATCTACTGTCTAGCACGTCGGAAGTACTTATGCGCAGTGGAATTCAATTTTCAAACCGCCCAAAAGTCAGTCCTGCTTGTGCTTGTTCATTTCCCCCTCCACCGTGGCCACTACTACTTACTGTAATTACTTCTGAATCTCCTCGGGACTTCGAAGCCTTCAGTTCCTTCGCCGCGACCGCGACGTGAGGAGGACAAAAAAAAACATTGTTCTTCGAGACCATGACCTGACCCCGAATTGAACAGGGATCTTCTGCTTACAAGAAGAATGTCTATCTAAGTATAGCAGATACATTAACCATTATGCTATCAGGTCCATACCTACTTAGGTTTAACTGTGGCTATATAAAAGCCTAGCTTGAAAGCAGTGTTCAACTGGAGTGAGGAGAAATGAACCGAGTTCGACCTCCAAAAAGTCAGTTCTGCTTGCTCGTTATTTTATCCTCCTCCAATCCTCTTACATCAATTACACTCGAGTCTTCTGTGTCTTCAATTCCTTCGCCGCGACCCTGAAGTGCGGGAACCTGAAGTGAGGGAACAAAAAAATAAAACAATGTATTCTTCGAGCCCATGACCTGACCCCGAATCGAACAGGGATACTCTGCTTACAATAAATACAACATAAAAGTAGAGCAGACACACTAACCATTATGCTATCAGGTCCATGTCATTTCATATTCGACTGGGATTATGTGACAGTGTGAGCATTCAACTTGGGAAAGCAAACCTCGGGGTCAAGTTCTGTTTGTGCATTTCATCCTCCCCTAACTCTACTTCCACTCGAGTCTTCGAGGCCTCGGAATGCGATTTCTTTCACCGCGACGTGAAGAGGGAGATGAAACCAAAAAAAAAAAATCGCAACCTACCTGGCCCACGACCTGACCCCGAATCTTCTGCTTACAACTTTTGACTCCCGTCATAAGTACAACAGCTGCACTAACCATTGTGCTATCAGGTCCATGAAACACTTTCAGCTGAAGTAAATAGAAGGGCAAGTTTAGGTGAACCACCCCAAAAAAACGGGAATGTAAGAAAAGTGTACGGACCTTGGTATGACTGGACCCCGAATCGAACGGGGGTCTTCTGCCTACAAGAAGAAGTATAGCATTAAGTAGGGCAGATGCACTAACCATTGTGCTATCCAGCCAATACATTCAAGCAGTACACTCAGGACTAAGTAAGGAAGTGGTGGTTGTGGTTGAAGTTCATTTAATACAGAACACAAATCATGGTAGCAATATGGATCAACTGTTTTCCCTTTGCTTGTGCCAGTGCGCGGCCAGGATGTTCGAAAATGTGACAGAATATTTGCAGGGGCTTGCTCAAAGATTTGAGGAACGGGGATGACAGCTTTTTCGAGCAAAAGAAACTTGGAAGACCGGCCACTCCAACCCCGGTCCCGTAACTCATACAACAAGAGCGCGCTACAGTTATCCCCCACTCCTTGAGTCATCACTTTGTATTTGGTCAATAACTCCTGATTGAGTACATATAATGCCAAAAGCCTTTGGCTCAGCACGTTGCTAAAGAAGATGGCTACATTTCTGGCCTATTCCCAGCCAAATTCGTCCAGAATTGAGTCTGAAAAGGTCGAATTGATGGTGACGCAAGGACCGGGGGGCTAAAAACAGCCAAAAACACGATTTGATCTCGACTTCCTCGTGTTCGCTTTCGCATTTCTGGCCATCTCGAGTAGGTAGAACATGCTTTTCGCATTAATGAAACATTTCAAACTCAGATTTGAGGTCAGGAACAACTGGGAACATTATTTTCAAAGTGACTCAAGGACCGGGGTTGACTCAAGGAGTGGGGGAACACTGTATCTCTCAGCATTGCTTCAATTTTTTTCCGATGCGACGGTGTAGTATCCGCTCAAACGAAGCCGACCGACCAAAATTCAACCGTGGGAAACGGGATTGATGGCAATGATGCACACTTAATTTTGCGGGCGGGACATGGGTCTTGGGTTGAGAGTTCTGGGCAGCGAATTAGTATGAAATAGATAACCTTTCCTCTTGGTACATTTTGGTCCATTAATTTGTATTCCCAATTCGAATTCGTTGAAAGGGTTCTAACTTCTTCAAGGCCGGCCGCCGTCCAAGATTGAGATTTTGAACAAAATTTTGTTGAGGAGAGGCGGTGGGTGCTCTTTACAATGTTTTGTTCTGGGTTACAGCGAGAAGGACGAAAAAAAACGGTTGAGATGCTTCTGGACGAGCAGACGAAGGACCGGTATGCAGTGCCTTCGATGACATCCAACAAAGTGTCTTACAGTTCAGCGCGTCCGTTGACTGTTAGTTGATTGGAGACCGACTGCATGTTTCGAAAAACCCAAGACTTGCGTGCGCGAGAACACGCCAAGACACATGACTCGATTGCGTGTTTCACCTGAGTTTGTAATCTGTGGGTTTCGGGTATTTTCGGGGACGGGCGGCGGGTATCTGCATTCATTTTGCAATCTTTTTTCATCTTGAGCACGTACATAGCTCATCGACGCCATTCAGAGAAATCCTCCCCTGGTGATGATAAGCAGGACGGTAAAATTCGAATGACACAAATTGATTCAGTAACCTACTACAACTCGCTCTTCAACTCGTTCCACGGGGGAAGGCCAAACATGGATGGAAGGGCCTCCCACATTTTGGCACGACCTGCAGTCATCCCCTCCTTTGCCCGCTCTCTACAGTGATCACAGAAGGGGAGACGAGTAAGGAATTTTGGAGTGGATAAAGCATATTGAATCCGCGGCGAGGTGGCGAAGGAGTACCAAATTGATTCGCGAGAGCGGCTGCAAATCTCGTGATGTTTGCAGCCATTTGCGTTTGACTCCGAGGGCACAAGCCAGCCGAAGGTCTTATCTGGGGAACACTGGGCCCTCAACAGCTTGTCGCGGCCGATAATACAGAGTTGGGTGTCCGTGGACGACAGAAGGCTGGTGGTTCCGTCTGGCCGCGGGAGACCGTTAAAAATCTCAGGCTACACAAAGCAATGAGACCATGTGAGTTAATGGATGGTCCTGCTACTTGCCAGATAGAAGCCCGCTACACAGACATAAGCCCATGGTAGGAGAGAACGAAGCTCATTCTCTCGCGCCAGTGTCAGGATGTCGTGATAAACGCCAGGATAATCGGTGATCCGCGTTGGCTGGCCACGGCCAGCGTGTGTGGAAAGGCCAGGAGGGTAGTACAACGCGTCGAATGCTTCCAGCGTAGCGGGGTTCTCGTCGGTCAGACGCTCCAACGCAATGTGGAAAAGGTCTTTGAATTCATATTTACGCCCTAGGCGGATGAAGCTTGCAATATAAGGGAAATCTAAGGCCTTCTGGTGGAAAATCGCGCTGTTGGTCAAAGAAAGACATCAGCAAGTGGTGAGGGCGGCGGGATTCGGACACTTACGGATTATAGAGTGCCTTCAGGAGGTACTTGACATCATCTGCATTATCCGGGAGCTCAACCACTGGGCACCCGTCCACGGTAGGCTGTTCAGGAGGCTGAGGGAGATTTTCGAGGTCGCGGAAGAAGGAAGAATTCTGGGAGAGAAAACTCCAATGCACGCGAAATTGGGTGTTCTGAGCTTGCAAGACAACACTGCCGTCTTTGTACCAGATACTGGAGCGCGTTATCGACGCGTCCTCGGTGCGTTGACGTTTTGCGGGCGGCGAAGTCATTGTGGCAAGAGCCAAGCAGAGCGATGGCGAAATTTAAATGATCAACTGATCATCGATCATCGATCATCCGCCAGCCGAGTCGGCTCCTGCTTTGTCCCACCTCCGCACTGAGAAGATCCGCCCAGACACGCTCCATGACACTGGTATAACCATGAAAGCGGCATACTACATGCAGAAATTCAAACTTCTTCACCCCACAAAACCCCGTTTAAACTTGAAATCAGCGCAGACGCATCCCAACCTCAGTCAAGCTGGTTACTGGACTTGCATACGACCACGAGTTGGACTCGCCGTTCCGCTGCCTAAGCTCTACGCTGCGTCCTCTTACAGGCTTCCGAATCTGATTGTGCAACACGAACACGTCCCTCGTCCAGTGAAGGCCCGAGCGTCGCAACAAAGGAGGACGACCAGTTCTACCTCAGGCTCGGAAAGCCTTCGCATACGTTTACAAGACGAAGTACATCATACATCCACACGGTAACTCGGGCGGAAATCAATATTCCGCGCAAACCCTTCCCCGCGCGCGTTTGGCACCAGCTTCCGAGTCGTGCGTCCCCCTTTCTTCTAGATCTCCTCTGTTTAGTTGCACACTGTGTTACATGCAACCCTCCTTCCTCCCTCCTCCTTTTCCCTTCAGCTCTTGTTTGGATATCTTCCCAGCTGCTCCCGGGCGATTCGTCCAACCGCCGTCGGAGCGTAAAACTGGCGATGAGGGAACGATACAGTAGGAAAGCGCGTAGGCGTTAAAGGAGTCAAATTTCGATATCTCTACGGTTTTCCTTCTATTCACAATATCGCTTTGGCACGGCACAATGTTTCTTCCGTTAATCCGACTCCTCTTTCTTGCGGCTTCATGTTAAATTCCTCTGACTCGGACTCGGGAATAAATATTCCTCCAATATTACTTCCGACAACGCAGACCATTCTCCACTCCTCCTTGTTTGTGGATCCTGCAGGCCACTTGCCATAGGAAATTCGTCCGGCGAATTTAAAATGACGGTACTCACATACCTACTGAATCATGGCAGGGTTTCAGTGTTGGCTCGATCGCAGTGAGTATTCCAGCAAATGCTAGACTCGCGCGACGATCTATAAAACTCAAATTTCTACAATTTTCACTCGAACAAATCCAAAATCGAACCGTGGGAAACTGGTGATCCACACTGTGCGGGAAAATCGGTTACAGCTGAATCAAAAACCATAGACGTTTTTCATTTAAAACAAAACTGCGAGCCGAGGACCGGCCTCTGCCAAAAGTTTCGTTGGTTGGTGCTGGGTGGAGCCGCTTACACTTTTCTGGTAGTGGGCGATGCTCGGCCCGAAGTTTTCTTTAAAATTGAAAAGGTCTATCGTTTTTGATTCAGCTGTAAGAGTTCTGGACATCATGGACAACTTCTTCTCGGTGCGTAACAAATTCTATTGACTTTTCAATTATATCGCGGTGGAACCGGTTAAAAGTAGCCTTGTTTATCGTGTGTGATTCAAAGTCACGGTGTGTAGGTTGAGTAGAGGAATGTGTCACTGACTTTGCGAGACAGAAAAACAACGCTCAACAGCAATCATCGCACTTGCGTCGCTGTTCAAGCAAGTCGCTGAAAGTCCGGGCAATCATGTGTCAATAGAGAGGAAGGATGGCGAAGGATATGTAAACCATCAACCGTCGCACAGAGAATTCATTTCTTTTTCTGCAGAAAGAGTTCACTTCCGAGTTGACGACAGAAAATAATAATGCAACTCACTGACGACGTCGCAAAGTTCAGGCGAGTTTGCGTAGTGTCCTCGAGGCCATGGCGCACAGTCAGATCTCACTCGACTAAAAATATTATAAGGATGCCCGCACCTTTCAAGGGTACGAAACCCAAGATCAACAACGCTAGTGAGCATAAACACTTTTCTTGGGTCCCTTAAGCCGTGACTATCTGTGATTAGCGATCTAATCACGGTCTGATTTGGTCGCTAATCACGGTGATTAGATATCTCTTTCTGAAGATCTATT